AGAGTGAGAGGGGTAGGCTAGTGATGAAGGTGGAGAGGAGTGGGTCCTCTCTGGTGGGCAGCCGGGGAGAAGGAGCAAGGGAGAAGGCAGCTGGGGCTCTCAGACCTTGCCTTGGGTCTGATCAGTGCTGTCTGATAGAATCTTCTGTGGTGGACTGAAAATTATTCTGTAGGAACTGTCTCAGGATGTAGCCAGTAGCCACTTGTGTCTGTTGAGCACCTGAAATGTGGCCAGTGGGTTTAGGGAACAGAATTTAAAATGTGTATTTTATTCTAATTTAAATGGCCACATACGACTGATAGATGTCACATCAGGGAGCACAGGGAGGTGCACTGATACTTCCTCAGAGTGCTGTGGTGATATGACTGCCCCCAAGGGGAGGATGGCCACTTCTAGAAGCCATACTAAAGAGACCTTGCCCATTGGAGCTTGGCTACAGGGTCTCCAGGCTCAGGCCACCTGAGCATCGTCTCAGGCCACAAGGATGTTTATGCTCTGATTTATTTTGGGGGGACCCCGGCCTCAGATGTTGGATGGCAGTTTTGTGAAGAACAGGATGTTTGTGTCTTCCAGAAAAGTCATAGCTAGTAAAAGTATAATGTTGGTTGCAGCTATAATTAAATTTTCAGTAGTCACATTTATTTAAAAATTAGCAAAAACAAAACATGAGTGGTATTAATTTTATTTATTTTGCCTGATATAAATAAAATATGGTCATTCCAACATAAGTATTTTTAGTTTATTAATAAAAAAATTTTTTTTAGGCCAGATGCTGGTGGCTCATGCCTGTACTTAGCTACTTGGGAGACTGAGATCAGGAGGAGTGAGGTTCGAGGGCAGCCTGGGAAAATAGTTCATGAGACCACATCTCCAAAATAACCAAGACGAAATGGACTGGAGGAGTGGCTCAGATGGTAGAGTGTCTGTTTTACAAGTGCAAAGCCCTGAGTTCACACACACACAAAATTGTATCTCTACTGAACATACACTGACTTTTTTTGTTATTCCCCAAACAATACAGTATAGTAACTATCCGGGCATGTATATTTTACCAGGTATTATAAGTAACCTAGAGATGATTTAAAGTCTATGGGAGTGTGTGCATACGTTCTACACTATACATCTTATATAAGAAATCTGAGCATCCACAGGTTTTGATATGTATAGGCTTGGATACCAAGGGATGACTTACTGGAAAACATGGTTCTAAAGGGAAAAGCTGGAGGCTATGGGGTTCAGGAATGTGTTTGGTGTAAGCCAAATGCCATAATTGGGGTATCTGAGAAGAGACTGGGTTTCCAGGAGGCTGTGTGTCCCTAGAAAATGACAGATACTAGGAAGTCCTCAGTGGCCTTTAGAAGAGTCGCCCCTCTCTAAGGAGGAGGGGACTATTGGTGCCTCACACCCCCATTGCCACTAGCTTTTGCAGAGTCTAGGTTTTGAACTCCTCCTTCAAGCATGCCCACAGATCTTTTTATCATCACACACCGGATAGGAGTCTAGCTGTAGCCAAAAGGTGGGAGGCCCCAGCTTCCTTCCTAGTGCAGTACCTCGACCCTTCACTGCCCCCCTGCATCCCCTTGGAGCCTGTCTAATCAGATCCAGGCTTGACCTCCACAGAGGTCCTGGACCAAGAGGAAAGTCCCCCTTACCCCCCCCAGCAGCCCTAGGTCCCTCCCCTCTGTGTGATTTATAGGGGTGTCCAGGACCATTTCCTGCCAACCCAGGGACTGCTGGGCTCAGGCCCCGCCCAGTCTCTCCCTCAGCCTTCTGTACCCATGGTGCGCTGGGAGGGGCTGGGCGATTCCGATTCCTTCCCAGCCATTGTCTGGGGAAGAGGGTGCTTGTTTCTACTTTTCCCTGTTGCTTTCTGGCCCTCACACCTGGCGGGGATCCCAGCTTCTTCATTATCCCCTCTCATCACCTAGCTCAAAGTGAGGGACCCTGGACTGTCCTCACCAAGCCAAGTGCGATGAAGAGCATGAGCATCCAAAGTCACAGCACCACCTTCGTGGTCAACAGTCACAGAATGGACACACCAACATCAGCCACAATAGTGACTGGCCTATGCTCTCATCAGATACACAGTGGCTCTGGGATGACTTTTTCAGGGCACTGAGAGGCCCAACCCTCAGCGCCTTTCCCATGTTTGCCCAGGAACTCTCTCCCTACAAAGACAGCATAAGGGACAGACCCTGATCCCAGCTCTGCTAGCTCAACTCAGAACAAGAACAGAGTTGGGTTTTTTGAGAAAGGGTCTTACTAGGTACCCCAGACCGACCTCAGACTCATGATCCTCCTGCCTCAGCCTCCCATGTGCAGGGATTACAGGTGTGTACCACCAGGCCTGGCTGAAAAATAGACTTGTGAACCAAACCTGCTCTACCCTGAGACTGGAGAGACCTTACTGGCTATGATATCCTTTCCTTCCTGACTTCCTGAAGAAAAGATGGTGTGCTTGTAAACTCAGGAGTGAACTAAGATTCCAAGATTCCAGCTAAGCTGAGTAGGCTCCCTGGTCTGGAGATTATGGTGCCTGGAGGAGAACTGGAAGGGTCCCGAAGCCAACATGCTTACCCTTCTTTTATGCTGCATGGCCCAGGTCTTCCAGCAAGTCCTGGAGCACCTACAGGGTATGCAAGTGTGAAAGTGTGAAGAGGAGTGGGAAGAAGGAGCCTTAGGTGACAAGGAACAAACCTGGGAGGCTGGCTAGACCCTCCCAGGGTGAGGATGAAAAAGCCAGCCAGAGAGAAGGGGCTGTTTCAGCCTGCAGTCTGCTGTGGGAAAGAACAGCCGAAGGACTAAGGACACCCAGCAGAGGGCTTAGGCCGCAGTTTCCCCATTGCAAAATGAAGGGATTTGTTTCAAAGTGGTTTTCAAGCACTTTTAGAGTGCAAAGCTACCCTTCAAATTAAGAGTGCAGCAGACCTGCCACCAAGTGCAGCTGATAGAGAGATACAGTGAGGGGCTGCTGTGAGGGAAGGAAAGTACAGGCAAGGAGTGGGCTCAGCTGCATCCAGGGGCCCCAGGGGATCCTTAGGACTTTGGCTCCTCACTGGTGTGAGGAGTATCAGAGTGGTTCCTTGCTCCTATCCCTGGGAGCGCTTGCATTTCTCTCCAGCATCACTCTCAACCATGCTTTTGTCACAGGCTAGTTTTGGGGAAGGTTTGTTCTACTGAGACCAGACTTCTCCATGCCGGTGTCCTGAGAAGCAGCAGCCCTTTCTGCTGTCTTTCCTCAGGCTAGCTCCTAGCTCTAGGCGCTTCCAGGGAACCCAGAATGGGGGCTCCAGGCACAAAAGGCTTGGTTCCTTAATGAGGAGGCATCTGTAGGCAGAGCCATTAGTCCCCGCCCCAGGTCCCTGGGGGACTGTGAGCTCCTCTCCAGCTGGAGTGAGGAGGGGGCAGACAGCTCCCTGGAGTGCAGACGGAGCCTGGGTGTCCTCACCACTCCTCAGGCCCATATCCAGCCCTGCTCCACTAAGGCTCAGGCCTGCAGGCTGTAGAGGAACCCCTGCAGCACGTCCCTCTTCCCTGGGCTGACCTGCGGCAATCACAGCCTTTGTCCTGAGGCAGAGTAGGCTGACTTCCTCCTCTCGTGATGGGGGTACCGCCTGCAGGGAGGGTAAGGTGCTGTCTCTAAGAGCTCTACCTGTGTGGAGACACTTGTGATTGACTTCCTTATCGTCCCCAGATCACACACCAGCCACAGGAGCTAACAGATTCATCCCCATCCAGATGGGGACACTCTGACCATGCGGCCCAGCAAATGCAGAGTCCTGTACACACCCATCAACCATACTCCCAGGAGGCCCTCAAAGAGGAGGAGGCAGGGCAGGGGATTTTTACGCATGTTTATATTTAATGAACCGCATGCAAATGAAATGGAGAATGGCCACAAAGGAGCCAGCCCCTAGAGACTCTGGGTAGGAGGGCACAAAGCCTTGGCCTTTCTGGCTGCCCTGGAGTTCAGAACAGGCCTGTGGAGTGAGAGGGCCTGAGACAGGGCATGGGGGCCGTGAGGAGGGACTGCCTGCGCACACTAGGGAGCCAAAGTAGGGGCTGGGGGCTGCTGCAGGAGGGGGAGGGCTCTTTCTGGGAGGGAGCAGCCGTCCCAGTTGATGGAGTGCAGAGGGGAGGGGCTCTGCCTGGACAGATGGTGTCCCGCCTTCCCGTACTTGAGGCAAAGTGGATTTTAATGAAATCGCAGCCCTGGTGCTGAAGCTGTGAGCCGTGTGGGAGGGGCCCTTCCCCAGTCTTTCCAGAGTGGGAGCAGAGGGGTGGGTGGAACACTTAACCAGCCTCAAACTGGGGGCAGGGAGCACACCACAGCCCCTCTGCAAGGGCTTCTGCAGACTAGAGTTGAAGTGTGAGTTCAGATCCCCAAAAGGTGGAGAGGAGGGCCCTGAATATTTATGACACATTGAAATGTAGATTGGTAGGTCTGACAGTCTTCTGAGCTTCCTGTCACCTTGGATGGATATAACCACGCTCTGGGGACACATGGAGAAACTGTAGAAGGCTGCCGGTAGGGAAGAGGATGAGAAAGGACCAAAAAAAAAAAAAAGCCACTGGGCTGTGGTAACCAGGGTCTGATGACGTTGCTGTGTCCCGGCGCTAGACAACACTGGACCAATCAGTCCCCTCTCTGGGACTCTCTGGACACTGTAGTGGGAGATTATGAAAATAAGCAAAAAGCCTCTGAGAGCGTAGAAGACCTGGGTGAGAGCTTTCTCTGGTGGCCTTCACGGGTCAGCTCTGGGGGGCTGATGCATGCCTCCCAGGGAAGCCCACGGGAGTTTTGTCATCCTGGAATTTGTCCAGACCTTTCTCAAAGTTGCAGCCCAGTCTAGGGGAGGCTGGGGAGAGGGCCAGTGTGTACCCCAAGCTGCCACCCTGCCTCTGCCAGCTCCAGGGAAACTCTCTGCCCCTAGGTGGGTGACCAGAGCACTTGCCTGTGACCCATCCACACCTCTCCCTCCGCTCTTATCTTCCCTCAGCCATGTCGGACTTCCATGTGCACCCCCAGGCCACTGTGGGTGAGGAGGGCGGTGTGGCCCGCTTCCAGTGCCAAATCCATGGGCTTCCCAAGCCCCTGATCACATGGGAGAAGAACAGAGTCCCCGTTGACACGGACAATGAGAGGTGAGCCATGTGGAGGAAGGACAGAGGCCGGCTTTGGAGGATTGTTTGGAGCTCTGGAAGCTGCCACTGACGCCCAGGGCATGGGACCAATGATGTTTTGGCAGCTGTAGGCAGGACTAGGTCTCCTGGGCTTGACAAGCTGCCCAGATTTCAGGCTGTGGACATGTCTGTGAGGGCTATGGGTGATGGTTGTCCAGGCTGAGGAGGGTGTTATTGGGACAGTGCCCATGTCCTGGGCTGTGTCTCTGGTACTCAGTGTCCCTGAGGCCCAGGGTTCCAGTGACTGTGCCACTCCTCCAACAGGTACACATTGCTGCCCAAGGGGGTTCTGCAAATCACCGGACTGCGTGCTGAGGACAGTGGTGTCTTCCACTGTGTGGCCTCGAACATTGCCAGTGTCCGGATCAGCCATGGGGCCAGGCTCACCGTGTCAGGTGAGATCCTCTGACCTGCCAGCTTCGTCCGCAGTCACCCAGCTGGCCTCCTCAGGCCTCCTTGATGCAATCCCCATCTCTGGCTGCCAGACCTTATCAGCCAAGTGTGTGCAGAGTGACTGAGAAGCTGCTGGCGAGGCACGGAAGGTTGCTGGTCCCTGCCCAGTCCCAGCGCCTGCTCCTCCCTGGGATTCCCTACTCCTAGAGGCCCCACAGGGCTGGGAGTGGAGGAGTGGAGGGAAGGACATGAGGACCTAATTCCTGGGCTGGTTCATGTCCTGGTGATGGGTGGAAAAGCTCCAAGCTGAAGAGAGGAAATGTGACCTTTTCTTCCAGGCGCAGGCTCTGGGGCCTACAAGGAGCCAACAATTCTGGTGGGGCCTGAGAACCTCACCCTGACAGTGCACCAGACCGCGGTGCTGGAGTGTGTCGCCACGGGCAACCCGCGCCCCATTGTGTCCTGGAGCCGTCTGGGTGAGCATCATCCACACCCCTTGCCCCTCTGTCCCCACCACCTCCCGGGAGGGCTGGCCTCCTGATCTCATCAAGGGCTCTGGGGGGACTCTGAATCCTGTTTGTTCTCTGCAGGGGTTAGGTCCCTCCCTCTTCTGGCAGGACCAGGGGGTCCTAAGCAGAGCTTGCTCAGCTCCCTGGGTTACCTCATCCAGTCTTGACAGTCCTCCCCAGGCTTCTGCAGCCCTCAGCACCCAGGCCCCCTCCCCTCCCCCTATGTTCTGGCCACACCCCCAGTTATGCCATCCCAAGCCCGTCAGACTCTTGGCAGTCATCAAACCCTCACTCAGGCCCCCCAGTCTCTAGCCTGCCCGCAAGTCCCCAGTCCAAATCCCTAGGCAGCTGAAGTACAAGTGAAAGGGTGCAGATGGGCCATGCAGCCTGAGCAGAAAGGTCACTGGGGGAGGAGGTTCTGGAAGGGTGGGGTGGGGTGCATTCACCAGGACACTGCCACATTGTAGCAGCTGAGTGATGGGGGAAGGAGGGGTAGCACAGGATAATGGAGTAGATTTCACCACTTCAGGGCCTGAATGGGGAGCTGTCTCTTGTGTTCTGACTGTGCTAATCTGATCCTGGGTGGGGGGAGGGCCCAGGTCCCTGGGAGAGACTGGGAATAGTGGCCTCACCATCAGGAGGAGCCACCAGGCACTGCAGGGACCATCTGGTCCACCATTTCTCAAAGCATGATCTATCAGGAGGAAAAAATGGCTCAGTGGCCTGGTAAATTTGGGAAATGAAGTTAACCAGGGCTCTGTGCTGCAGGACTTCTCAGAGGCTTTATATTAATGGGTTTTGTGACGAACCACCTAGAAGCAGAATGGATATTCAACCGTGGAACTTTTTTTGAGATAAACCAGGCTGGGAAATGTTAATCGAATCCAAAACCCTTTCTTTCTGGGTTGAGAAATGGGGAAGGGACTTGAAGGTCAACAGCAAATCAGTGACCACACTAGGATCAGTGTAGGCAGAAGTGTGCTGCCCTGCTCTCCGTGCTTCTGGGGAGGGAAGGTGTCAAACCAAAGACTGAGGCTCCCTGGAAAACAGGTGGAGGGAGCTCTCTGGGCTTTCCTGTACTTCTCCCTTCCACACCCCTGGCCACTCTCATCCCTACTCTGCTTTCTTTGCAGATGGCCGCCCCATCGGAGTGGAGGGCATCCAGGTTCTAGGCACAGGAAACCTCATCATCTCAGACGTGACTGTCCAGCACTCAGGCGTCTATGTCTGTGCAGCCAACAGGCCTGGCACCCGGGTGAGAAGGACAGCGCAGGGCCGGCTGGTGGTGCAAGGTACACACTGCATCCCTCACCTTCTTCGTATCCCAGGCCCCATGCCCAGCTCAGTACCCCATTTTCTGTCCCTAACCCTGCCCCTCGCCACTCACCAGGTCCCAGGCCAGAGTCCCTTTCTCCAGGGAGTGTTGTTTTGTTTTTGTGATACTGGGGTTTGAACTCAGGACCTCACACTTGGTAGGCAGATGATCTACCACTTGAGCCACTCTGCCAGCCCGTCCCAGGAGGGTTGGGAATGGGGGGACATTCTCAGACACGCAGCTCTGTGCCCTGCAGGTGCCTGTGCCACCCCTTCCACCTGCAGTCATTGCACTTTCTAATTTTAGCTATTGTTTGCCCTCACTACAGTGCCCCCCCCACCGTGCATGTCACACATGTGGCCTTCCACGCTCACACCCGCCTGCCTCTGCGCTCGAGGGGGTGCCGTCATTTCACATTCGCAGCAGCTCTTGCCTCATCGCACAGCTGGCCTCCGCTCCCACGCGGGGCCCTGCAGCTTGGTAGCTCCCTCGGTCCAGCCTGGGCCTTGTGCCTCAACTGTCCCTGAAATGGGCTTGAATTTCCATCTCCAGGTTCTCTGTGGTTGTTCGTCTTAGAGAGCAGGGAAGGGGATGGGAAATGGGGAATTAGGAACGTAAATGTTGTTTGTTTAGCATTCTGTTGCATTCTGTCCAAATGGAAGTGATGGAGCATTTCATTTCTTGGGTGTTAATAGAGGCTTGAGGCCTGGGATTGGAGGAGAGTAGAACTGGAGAGGGGAGAAGGAGGGGGGCAGTACTGAGCCTCATCCATCTCTCTCATTATAGCCTTGGAGGTGCAGCCAGACCTATTAGCACATTTATTTATTTAACAATTTCCTGAACAGGGAGCTCAGCTTGATTGCTTTCGGATACAAATGTCAGTCTTTTAAATGGTCCTTAAGATGGAATCCTCTGGGGTCTGCCTGGGATGGGGGAAGGAGGGACGTTGGCCTCCTCTGGAGCAGGGCAGGGTGGAGGCTGCCCCACCCAAAGGAGTCTCCTGGCCCTATCTCCCTCCTTGTCCTTTCATTCATGGCTGTCCCTGTCCCTCCCCACCTGACTCTCACGATTCCACCCTCAGCACCAGCTGAGTTTGTCCAGCATCCACAGTCCATCTCCAGGCCAGCTGGGACCACGGCCATGTTTACCTGCCAAGCCCAGGGAGAGCCACCTCCTCATGTCACGTGGCTGAAGAATGGGCAGGTGCTAGGGCCAGGAGGCCATGTCAGGCTCAAGAACAACAACAGGTGTGTATTAGGATGACCACTGAATGGACGGGAAAGGCTGGAATAAGTGACCTGGACAGGCCGGGCCACTCCTGCCGGGGAAGAGCAGAAGTAGAAGTCTAGGGACTGAGGCTTAAGTCCCAGGCCTGCCACTCACATGCTGGGCAGTATCAGTCACACGAGTCACTTGTCTCCTGGAAGAATGCAGTTTCTATCTGAGATGCGGCCGACCCCCAGGGACTCTTGCTCCCAGAGGAGGACATCTGAGTTTTTCCCTGTCCTGCAGCACACTGACCATTTCTGGAATCGGGCCTGAAGATGAGGCCATCTATCAATGCGTGGCAGAGAACAGTGCTGGCTCCTCCCAGGCCAGTGCCAGGCTGACTGTGCTGTGGGCCGAGGGGCTGCCTGGGCCCCCACGCAATGTTCGAGCTGTCTCTGTGTCGTCCACTGAGGTCCAAGTGTCCTGGAGTGAGCCCCTGGCTAACACCAAGGAGATCATTGGCTACGTCCTGCACATCAGGAAGGCTGCTGGTGGGTCCCACGCACCAGGCAGGCTCTGTCTGCGTTCTGCTCACTGCTGCTCACCTTTTCCACCCTGCATGTCCTGACCTGGCACCTCCTTTCCTTTTGCCCCTGGCCCCCTGGCTATCCTCATTTCACCATGCTACCAAGACTTCCACCTGACCCTTATACTCCCTGCCCAACCTTTATCTCCCAGACCCACCTGAGCTGGAGTATCAGGAAGCAGTCAGCAAGAGCACCTTCCAGCACCTGGTGAGCGACCTTGAGCCCTCCACTGCCTACAGCTTCTACATCAAGGCCTACACACCAAGGGGGGCCAGCTTGGCCTCCATCCCCACCCTGGTCAGCACCCTGGGTGAAGGTGAGATCTGGGTGAAGAGCACAAAAAGCACAGACTCAGGACAACAGAGCAGAACCCCCACGTACATGGGTTCAGGTTGTGTACTGCACAAGGTGCCTGGTCTTGAGGCTGAGTAGGGGCTGGGTCTTGTTTTCTAATTCATGGAAAGGTGCTGTTTGAGCAAGTTCATGCCCTAGGTCAGATGCCACACAGTTGTCAGGCTCTGGGAGGGGGAGGGGGTCCGGTCACAGGTGCAAGGTGAAAAGGTAGAGTTTTGACTGAGTGCTCACATCCTGGCCTGCTCTGCCTGCAGTCCCTGCCCCACCCCCGTTGTCAGTACGGGTGCTGGGCACCTCCTCCCTGCAGCTGTTGTGGGAACCATGGCCCCGGCTGGCCCAGCGCGAGGGTGGCTTCAAGCTCTTTTACCGCCCAGCCAGCATGGCCGCCTTCACTGGCCCCATCCTGCTGCCTGGGACTGTCTCCTCCTACAATATCAGCCAGCTCGGTGAGGCTTGGGGCTGGGCAGTGGGCAGGGGCAGTGTCCCTTCCTGCCAGGACAGAGGTGCCTGGTGGGGACAGAGCAGTTGTTCAGAAGCACTGCCTCCCCCAGACCCCAGCACAGTGTACGAGGTGAAGCTGCTTGCCTATAACCAGCATGGGGACGGCAATGCCACGGTCCGCTTCGTGTCCTTGAGGGGAGCATCTGAGAGGACAGGTGAGAGCTGGGGGAGAGAACTGATGCAGGAAGGAAGACAGGGCCTGAGGAAGGGGGAAGCAGGCAAGGAAGGTTAGTGGACTGTACCTATAGCCCTTGAGCACCCAGGCTCAGGCCTGAGCTTGTAGCTTGGCTGTGTAGCATTCCAACTGTGACCTTGGTCACATTGCTTAACCTCTCTGAACCCCAGTTTTCTCTTCTGCAAAGCAGGGATGACATTATCTACTTTATAAAGCAAAGGCTCAGGTGAAATTCTGTTTCCGGTACCTGGCACAAAATCAGTGCTCTACAACTGGTGAAAAGAAATGAAAAGGTTGGGCTGGAGTCCCAAAGGCAAAGTCGGAGAGACCCAGCAGAGGAAGAAGGAGTTCTTAGAGATTGGGTGTCTAGGGTGTCTGGGTGTTTCAGGCCAGGACAGCCACAAGCCCAATGTGCTCCTGTCCCCCCAGCCCTGAGCCTGCCATGTGACTGCCGGAAGGAAGAAGTCACCAACCAGACATCAACCACAGGCATTGTTGTTGGTATCCACATCGGGGTCACCTGCATCATCTTCTGTGTCCTCTTCCTCTTGTTTGGCCAAAGGGGCAGGTGGGTCCTGGGTCATGGGAGAGACTGGCCCGGGACAAGAAGTGGGCTGAGGAGGAGCTGTGGCAGGAAACAGATAGGGCTTGGGGCTCAGCCCTCTCTGTCTCTGTTTGGTTTTGCCTGCTCCCCATGGTTGTCCTGTAACAACTCATTAATCCTTAGGGTCCTCTTGTGTAAGGATGTGGAAAACCAGCTCTCCCCTCCCCAGGGCCCCCGCAGCCAGAGGGAAGTCTTGGCCCTGAATGGGGTGGGCAGGGGAGAGCGGGGCCAGCTGGGTGGAGAGAAGAATGTGGATGCCAAGGAGCTAGAGCAGCTGTTCCCCTCGGCTGGGGCTGCTGGGCAGCCTGGCTCCCGGCCCACTGTAAGTACCCATGCCTCGTGCAGTCCTCCCTCAGGCTTCGTCCACCTCCCCATCCTGCCTGCCTTACTCTTGGCCACCAGCCTTACCCAAGTCTTCTGGGCACAAAACTTCCTGTGCCCTCAGTCAGGCAGGGAAGCCTAAAGACCCTAAACTCTGGGGAGGGATTAAGTCTGAGACTGGCCCTCTGACTAGGGGAGAAGGGGAGGGTGTCCCTGGGCCTCTGGCCCTCTACTGACACCTGTGTGCCTGGCACTTTCTCCAGCAGGATCCCACAATCCCTGCCTCGTGTGAGGAGACCCAGCTCTCTGTGGTGCCACTTCATAGCTTCAGCCTTCTGGTGGATAGGACAATGGATGCCAAGTCCCCCTGTGCGGGCCCAGTGACTGCCCCACCACCCCAGGATGTAGGCCCTAGCCTCCTCAGTGAAGGGCAGGCTGCCCGGCCTTCTGCAATGCTAGCTTCTTGCTCCAGACAGTAGTCCATATTTGGCAGGCTCTGGAGGGGGCACCCCCGCATTCTCAGGTCAAAGCTGAAATTTCTCCTGTTATGTGGGATTCAGATGGTCCTGGGGACTGCCCAGCCTTTCTGGTCTGACTAAAGGACAGGGTTGTGGAGACCCTGGGAGCTGAACGGGGTTCTGGTAGGACCCCTACTGCTGCCCGGAACCCACACAACTTGAAACTGAACTAATGTTTTTCTCTAAAACTCAAAACTTAAAATCAAAAAGAGAGAAAGAAGAGAGAGGAAGGTGAACTAGACTCCAAAACTACTTCCCTGCTGTGGCTGGTCCCTGACACTGTTGCCCTGCTCCAACCTTGTTTTCTCAGGATGGATTGTTGCTGTTTTGGCTCTCGCACCTACCTCAGCCGGAATGAATGTCCTGAGGGCAAAGGGGCGGTAGCCTCTGCCCCCTGCCCCACAGAGCCCGAATGCACTCCTACCTCAAGCCCCATTATGGGCGCTTCTCCCTTCCTACAATGTTGTCCAGAGTTTAAAAAAAAGGAAAAAAAAAAAGTCCTTCCCCATTTCCAGGTGTGAAAGAAAACGTCTACCTCAGGGCTCACAGCTGGGCCTGTGTTGTAAACTGGACCCCCCTCCCAACCCTCCTTGCCCCAACCACCTGTCTCTCCCCCAGAGAGGAGGCTGAGGCTAAGTGACCAAGGGGGGTTTACAGAAATAAAGATGAAATTGATCAGAGAGAAAATGTGAAACAAGCCAAAAATGAGAGGAATATGTTCCTCCAAGTATAAATTGTCCCAAACTAGCCACCTCCCGGCACTCTGCCTGTGCTCTGTCTCCTGCGTCTTTCCACCCCCATTTTGACCCGCTGGCCAACCCATCCCCCATGGGGATGTTGGTGACCCTCTCTCTCCACCTAGGCTTGGAGGGGATAGCATGTCACCTAACAGCCTGCCTCTGCCCTGCCCAGACACGGGGCCAGGAGCAGGTCTGGCCCCAGAATGTGTGAATGGGGGAGAGGCACTCCAGCCCTCTGTGTCACTAGACACAGCCAGCTTGACCCACACATTAAACACTGTGGTGACCGACTGCTGGTGGCAAATGTGGCCAGGAGCTATTTTTATATGAGGTGTGTTTAAGGTCATGTTCTGTGACTGTTTGTTTCTCTTTTCTGTTGTGTTGTTCTTTGCGCTACTTAGGTAAAAAAGAAGAAAGGAAAAAAAAAACAAGGATACAAATACCTATTTTTGGTTACACTCAGAATCATTTTTTTAAATAGCAGAAGGAAAATTTTTTTTAAAGAAAAGAAAGAAGATAAGTGTATTCCTTAAGAATGAAATTAGAATGTAGTCCCTGACCCCCAACCTTCTAGGGACATCCCACCCTGAACTTTTGTTAATTAGCTGAAGAAGGTAGAATTTGTGCTGTTTTCCTAGAAAACTAGAGTGGTGTCCATGTGGACTGGGGAAGCACAGTCCCTTCCTTCTCCCAAGTGATGGGCAGGTGCCAGGGCTCCCCCCATCCACCCCGAGGCAGTGCACATCAGTTCTGCTTCTCTCTGGAGCCCCCTTTCTCTTGGGAAGGGAGGCTTGGCGGGAGGAGCCAGGGGCTTCCTGGCCTGACTTGGGTTTGTCACACTCTACTCATTTTGACTGAATAAAAGTCCTGTTGCCAAAGTGAACCTTGAATTTGGTATTGTGTCAGGTCCTGTGGGAAGGGAAGGGTGGTGTGCTGGGTAGGAAAGACCCTCATAGCATCTAAAGAGAGACAGAGAACAAATAAATAAATAAAAACTATTAGAAATAGGGACAGAGAAAGCAGGAGGGAGGGAAAGAAGGAAGAAAGGAAGGAAGACCCAAAATCTCACCCAGCCAAGCAGGGCAAGCTGAGAGTTTGCATCCAGGGCCGGCTGCCCAGTTCCAGGGTCTGTATGTGGACCACCACTCCATTCCTCCCTAGCCAGAGTGACGAAGCCAAGGCACTATGACATCATCCACCAGCATCGAGCCTGGGAGTGAGGAGGGCTGTGGGCGTTTCACCATTGTCATTGAGGAAGGATCATTTTCCTCCTGTTGTAAAGGTGAGGAAACTGAGGCTCTGAGTGAGTGACTTTCTCCAGGCACAACCAGGCCTCTTTGTTCCTCCACTGGGGGAGGGGTCATCACTGTCCCTCACATGCACACCCCCAGTTACCTGTCTTATAAGCTGACTCTTCATGAAATTTCACTTGAACACTAGGTCTGTTCTAAAGACACCTTGGAGTGGTTGGGGCCAAGGTCAGTCAGGACCAGGTGCTGAGGATGCTGGAGGCCACATGGGATCTGTCCTAAGTCTGGGGGTGAAGTAACCTACATGTAGACATGGGGCACCACCTTTCCTCACACAGTCCTTTGCACACACAGGGATTTTCAATGCCACCAGCCACCAGGGGAGGCGGGGCTCAGGTAGACCCTGTGGGGGCAGGAGAGTGGGCGGCCCTAGGGACCTTTAGAAACCACCTAAAGATGATCCACACAGATGACATGCAAATGTGGACAGGACCTGTTGTAGCCTCTAAGCTGGACTGAGGCAGACAGGAGAGCAAAGCCCAGTGAGAAAAGTTGACAGAAATTCATGTCGGAGGGAGTGGTCTGGCTGGAGTCTGGGTCCTGAGGTGAAAAACAGCCTCATGGTGCCACCCACACACCATCTTGGGTCAGATGATGGCAGCAACCAGGGCTCAAAACTGCCCAAAGCCAACCCTACCAGTGTGCTTCAACAGGACGGTGCCACGCGCTGTAGGTCGAGCATCCTCACGACCACAGCCAGGGCTGAAGGCTCTTCCACTCCCATGTCTGGTGACTGATAGGGGCTGTCAGAAGGCCCTAAGACACCTTTGTTCCTTGCAGCATGGTGGCTGGATTCCACACACCAGGTGGCAGGTGTGTCATTATTTCTAACCTAACCCTGGTGACGCAGTGCTACTGCTGCTATAATCTGTTCCTTAGAAGGAAGTCACTAAGGCTGGTCATATTCAGGGGCTTCAAGGGGAATTAGATTCCACTGTCTGCTGGGAAGAGAGTCAAAAGAATGTGCAAACAAGTTTTAAAATGGCCACAGGAGCAGTCAGGAGGGACAAGCAGGGGAACAAATGGGAACTTTGAGGCAGAGCGGGCAGTGGCCCTGAGGATTGGGGTGGAGACACAGTGAGTGGGCACTGCTGGTGGGCTGCAGGAGATAGGGAGTGCCCTTGGCTTCTGTGGCAAGCCCTATTTGGGGGCCTCATTGTATTGTTAGTGAAGACTTGTCTAGGGGGGCATGGAAAGAGGCAGCTCCACTGCCTGCTCCCTCTCTTGCTAGTCAGACAGCAGCTGGTACAAACCTGAGACCCCCACCTATTCCAGATGGCAGATGCCAGAGGGGACCATTGACCCCTCATGAGACACACAAGGCAACTGAGGGCCCACAAGGGGCATGAGTGGCTGCATGTCACAGGTTATGAGAGGAAGAGGCAGGCCAGCTATACCTCAGAACCAGACAGAGCTCTAGAGCACAGAGGGAGGGGAGAGAAGCAGGGGGAGCAGAGGTGGGGCTGGGCAGAAGTGTGGAGGGAGGTGGCCCTCTTGGAAAGTGGGGCTGAGGTAGTAGGGAGCAGCCTACTAGGACTGGTGGGAATCTGGGGTAGAAACAGGGATGAGGATTGCTTGAATCCGTAGTTGGAGACCAGACACTGCATGGTGAGACCCCATCTTAAAAAAAAATGGAGAAAAAAGAAAGAAGAGAGATGGGAGGAGGGGCTGGACTGGGGTAGTGGCTCAAGTGGTATAGCACTTGCCTAACAAGCTCAAGAATTTAAAGGTTTCCTATACCTGGCCTGACCACATCCAGCTGTAACCTCTGGGTTCCAGGTAGCAGCCTGGACACCCTGCTGGCTGGGGAGAGGGGTTGTGACTGGAGGGGTTTGCTGCCACCTTGTGGAATCAGTGAGAATTACAGCCATAGGGACGGACACCTGATTGCATACAGAAATTAAGATGTGCTCAGCCCCATCACTTCTTGGCCTTTTGGTTAAGATCAAGAACAGGACACACCCAACCACAACCATCCAAATACGTACTTGGATGAGTGCCAGCAACAAGATGGAGAAACGTACAGATACGTGATTATGAAGTAGTGGATTAAGGCAGGCTTTGAAGAGGAGCAGAAAGGGGGAAAGTGCACCCAAGACCTTGAAGGCCCAGCGTGAGCGAATGCTCAGTGGTGTGGAGGTGCATGGCTGCTCAACAAACAGCCAGGAGCTGTCATTTGGGGCTTGGAGCCTGGCACTTAGTAGATGGTCAACTAATGTGTGAATGAATAACTCCTAGGTTTCCAGAGCATGTACTGTGTGTATGGCTGATGTGGCTGAGAAAACTTTCCAGATGGAAGGATGCCCCAATGATAATGATGATGCCTGTTATTACTTTTTTTGAGCCAGGGTCTGGCCTCAAACCTGCAATCCTCCTTCTTCAGCCTCCTGAGTGCTGGGATTACAGGCGTATACCACTACACTCAGCCACTGTTATTTCTTCTCCTTCTTGCGCTTGCTAGGCAGGAGCTCTACCACTTGTTATTACTTCTTATGGCTCTTTACAGACACCTCTACAGTTGGGGGCATGGCTCAAGTGGTAGAGCACCTGCCTACCAAGAGCACAGCCCTGAGTTCAAATCCCAGTACAGTCAAAAAATAAGTAAAAATAAAATAAAAGACAGAACACCTCTCCATTACCTCATCTAAGTCTTCCACATCCTTGTAGAGGACAGGACTAGACTTATTGTCATCTCCCACTTGATAGATGAAGAAAGCAAGGCCCAGAGAAGTGAGGTTGGGACTGGGACTTGACCCCCAGATTCCTGGTCCTAAGCAGTCTGTTCCCTTGTATCTGTGTACTGAGGGGAAAGGCAACTAGGGAGAGTGTGTCTAAATTAGCTGAAATGGGGATTTTTTTTCTTGAAGGGTGAAGAGACCCAGGAATGTCTGACCCCATCCCCCCCAGCAGGAGAACTGAGTATGTTCTAAAATGCAAATGGATCAGGAACCTGCCATAGCTCCCCGTTGTCCCAGAGCAAGCAGTCCAGTGCTTTTTGCCTAGCATTCAAGGTCCCCTTAAAAAAGATGGAGGGTAGCCCAGGGATTAAGAGAATGGGCTCTGGTTTGCAATCCTGGCTCTGTTGCTGCCCGGCTATGTGAACTGGTAGATGTCCTTTAACATCTGTTCTCACTGTTGCCTCCCCTGTGAGCAATGGGTAAGGATTTTCACATCCCTCATGAGCAAGTCAGTGTGCATGGAAGCTCTCAGGGACAGGCCCACTGTGATCGTTACTAATCAGAGCAGAAGCCAATTTCCTAGGCCTGCTGTGGAGTCCAACCCTGCAAGCTGGGGTCCTGGCTTCTCCTGGATATGCCACGTAGTGAGGCCTCTGGGTATTTCTGTAGGCTGTTCCTTCAGTCTGGAATGACTGACACCTTTCCACTGTCCTTGCTTTGCAGATCCCTCCATACATGGTCTCCTACCACTACTGC